TTCACACCCTTTTCAACAGTACGACAGACATGGCAGACCGACGCGGTCCTCCTCGCGGCCCTCCTCGCCCACAAGGTGGCGGCGGCGGTGCTGGCCGCGGCGGCAGCGGTGGTGGGTATCAAGGCGGCGGCGGCGGTGCTGGCCGCGGCAGCGGCGGTGGTGGATATCAAGGCGGCGGTGGATATCAGGGCGGCGGCGGTGGCGGCGCTCCTCGCGGCGGCGCTCCTCGCGGCGGCGGAGGCCGTGGACGCGGAGACGCCCCTGGCGGCTTCCGTGGCGGTGGGCGCGGTGGCGGCGGGCGCGGGGCCCCAGCCTTCGTGTATAGGTCAGTACTTTGCTCCTCGCGTCCTGCCCTTCCTGATGCTAACGGCCCAGTGCACCCGGCGGCGGGTACCCCGCCCCCGACGCCACCGTCACGAGTCTCGAGAACGCAATCCAGGCCTCCGCGCCCGATCTCAGCCGGCTGACGACGCGCGACGACGGGGTCCAGATGCCCATCCGCCCGGGGTATGGGACGGGTGGCTCGCCTGTGGTGCTGTTTGCGAATTATGTGTCCCTGCAGGCGAGGAACGATATGGTGCTTTATCGGTACCATTTCGATGTTACGCCGGACATTCCGCCGAAGAAGAGGGCGCGCGTTGTGCAGTTGCTCATGACGGAGGAGCCGTCGATTGCGGCTGGCGATCCGGTGTCGGATATGAAGAGTATTCTGATTACGCGGAATAGGCTCGAGCAGGATGAGATGCTGGTCCGCGTTGCGTATCGGCCTGAGGGGTTGGAGGAGGCGGGCGAGAATGCGCCGGTGTATACGTGCAAGCTGCTGTACACCAACACGCTCTCTATGCAGAGTCTCCTCGACTACCTCAAGAGTCAGAACGCGGTCGCGCGCTACGACGACACGCCCCATCTCCTCCAAGCCCTCAACATTATCTTTTCTCAATTCGGCAAAATCCAACCCGGCCACGTCACCGTAGGCCAAAACAAAACCTTCAACCTCGGCACCCAGGACTTTGGCACCCTCGACAAAGGCGGCGCCCTCCTCGCCCTCCGCGGCTTCTTCACGTCTGTCCGCGCCGCCACCGGCCGTCTCCTAATCAACATCAACGTCTCCAACGGCGCTTTCTACGGCGACGGCATGCTCGACGACCTCGCCACCGCCGCGAACAAGCGCAAGTTCAAGGATTTCGACAAGTGGGCCAAGGGGTTGCGGGTTGAGCTCACGTACCTTACGTCCAAGAACGCGGCGGGGCAGACTGTGACCCGCGTCAAGGGTGTGTGGGGATTGGCGAATAAGGGGGATGGGCAGGGCGGGGCAAATCCGCCGCAGGTGCCGAATCATGGGGCGGATGCGTATGCTGTGAAGTTTTTTTTTGAGGATCAGAGCGTCAAGAAGGCGGAGGGCGTCCCGAAGAAGAAGAAGGCCCAGGGACCGCTGGGGGCGAGGTATATTTCTGTGGCGGAGTATTTTAAGCAGAGTATGCTCTCCCCTTTCTTTTCTCCCCTTTCTTTTCTCCCCTATCCCCATCCCCTCCCCGCCCTCACTTGTGCCTGCGCTAATATCCTTAGGGTACAATATCGTCTGTCAGAAGGGACCCCCCGTTGTCAACGTCGGCAACAAGGCGAACCCGAACTACGTCCCCATGAACCTCTGCAAAGTCATCAAAGGCCAGCCGTACCGCGCCAAGCTCAGCGGCGACGAAACCGCAGCTATGATTTCCTTCGCCGTGCGCCCGCCCTGGCTCAATGCGAAGAGCATCACGGCAGACGGTTTCCGCACCGTGGGGCTCAATTCCGCTGACAATCCCCTGCTTGTGAAGTTCAACCTCGCCGTCAATCAGAGCCTGATTACCGTCCCTGGGCGCGTGTTGCCGGAGCCCCGTATCGATTACGCCGGGGGGAAGACGGCGTTCGTGCGGAATGGCAGCTGGAACATGCGCGACGTGTGCTTCCGCCGCGGCGCGACGCTCAGGAAGACGGATTGGGCGGTATTGTTCCTCAACGCCAAAGGCGACACCTTTACGCAGGACTACGCCGTCTTCCGGCGCGTCGTCCAGGAGTTCACCGACACGCTCAACAGCATGGGCGTACGCACCGAATTCCCGACTATCTTCGAAGACGAGCTGGAAGTCGACCACGTCAACGACGAGGCCAAGCTTGGGAAGAAGTTCACGGAGTATGTGAACCGCCGCCTCAGGCTGATTCTTGTGATCTTGCCGCGCGAGAAAACGTACCCGCTTTACCCGCTCGTCAAGCATATCGGGGACGTCAAAGTCGGGATTCATACGGTGTGTGTGGGCGCGAATAAGCTTACGAGTCAGAAGGGCGCGGATCAGTACATGCGCAACGTCGCCCTGAAGGTGAATCTCAAGCTCGGCGGCGTGAATCAGGCTGTTTCCGCCCTCGAACAGCCTGGCCTGATGAAGGAAGACAAAACCATGTTGGTGGGATTGGACGTCACGCACCCGCAGCCCGGCGCCCCGCCCACCGCGCCCTCCGTCGCGGCGATGGTCGCGAACATCGACTCCGATCTCGCGCAGTGGCCCGCGAGCATCCGCATCCAGGCCCGGAAGCGGCAGGAGGAAGTCGACGACGTGAAGGGCATGCTGCAGCGTCATCTCGGGCTGTGGAAATCCGCGGGGAAGCACGCTTCCTTCCCGGAGAATATCCTTGTGTACCGCGACGGCGTGAGTGAGGGGCAGTATGAGCGCGTGCTCACGATGGAGGTCCCGCAGATGAGGGAGGCGTGTCGCGCGGTGTATCCGGCTGATCTGACGAAGCGCGGGTTTCCGCATTTGACTGTGGTGGTCGTGGGCAAGCGACATCATACCCGATTTTATCCGACGAAGTTGGGGGATGATGATAAGGGGAATACGAAGCCGGGGACGGTGGTTGATCGCGGGGTTACGGAGGCGCGGACTTGGGACTTTTTCCTCCAAGCTCACAGTGCTTTGCAAGGCACTGCCCGGCCCGCGCACTACGTCGTGCTGCTGGATGAGATTTTTAGGTCTCGGAAGGGGGGGTCGGGGAAGAGTGCGGCGGATACGCTCGAGGGGTTGACGTATGCGCTGTGCAGCGCTTTTGGGCGCGCGACGAAAGCGATTAGTGTGGTGCCGCCGGCGCGGTATGCGGATTTGGTGTGTGATCGGGCGAGGCATTATGCGAGGGGGGCGTTTGGGGATGATGGGGGGAGTTTGGAGAGTGGGGTTAGCGAGGTGAGGACGAGTGATGTTTGTGTGCATGAGAGGTTGGTGGATAGTATGTTTTATATTTGAGTTGGAGGGGGGCAAGGTGGAGGGGTGGTTTTGAGGGAGGGGGGGGGATGGGTTGGGTAATGATGGTAGTAAGGGAGGGATTGGGAGTTGGATTGATCGATTGTATGGATGGTGCGTTCGTTGCTGCTGATTTGCCTTTGCCTTGTCGGTGATTTAATCTTCAACACCCACCGCCGTGACGCCTGCGGACTTGGACACAGCGGACGTTACTACCGCGCAAGCCCCGCCGGCCATCAGACTCACGTATCAAACCCCACCCCACCTCCATTCATCACTCTCTCAACCCCGCGCCCGCCGCCCGGGTACGAGCACCTCCGTATCCACAGCCTACCATCAGCCTATCTACGCGACGGCATCGGGCACGGTAAGGCTAGGCGAAGGCATATCACCGCTTGCTGAAGGCGCGCCTGATGGCCCTGGGGGTGGAATGGAGTTGGAGCGGAGTGGGATGAGGGGAATGGAGGGCTGTGGGAGAAGGGGTGGAAGGGGGTGATGGAGGGGAGGGAGGGGCGGTGGGATGGGTGGGAGGGTGGAGGGGTGAGGAAGGTGGCGGAGAATTAGACGAGGCAGCGCATACTCGCCGGTTCTTGACAATCGTTTATCTACTCGGTCATCAAACTTCATATACTTAGCCCGATCTCCGTCCTAAGTTCATCGCGGCGCTGTCTTTCATTCACCGCACAGGGCATATAAAGGCCTGTCCCATCCCCTCCCATCCCCCTCTGCGCCAAACACGACCAATACGAGTAAGCTCGCACCGCACGCCATCCCATCCGGTATGGAAGTAAAAAAAACGTCTGGGGAGGTTAACTTCCATATCTGCAGAGTGAGAAGGGCGCGACGCGGAGAGGACTGAGATAAGCAATGGGTGGATACACGAACTTATCTCTGTGGATGAAGTTTAGAAGGGAATTTGGCGGACAGATTCATTAACCTTTTCTTTTACGCCGCGCGAAATGGTCTTCCTCCCTAAACTCATCCCCGCGCCATCTCCGCCCCCCCCCGGCACCATCCACCCTCCACGTCATTAATTCCCCCTCCAAAACCGCCCTCAATAAATGCCCCTTTAGCTCAGTTGGTAGAGCGCGGCACTAGTATCTGCTCACAGCGGTGATGCCGAGGTCGATAGTTCAACTCTGTCAGGGGGCAGTTTCTTTTTGGGCATTTGGCTTTTTGGTATTTTGGCGTTTTGATCTTTTGGGCCTTTTTGGCCTTTGTGTGCGGCGAGGGTGCGGGGCTGGCACGGATGCGGTGTTGGGGTGTGGGTTAGGTGGAGCTGGGGGAGGGGTGGGAGCAGAGGCGGGCGGGGTGGGAGGGGTACGTGCGAGGCTGGACGAGGCTGGGATGGGAACGGGGTTGTATGGTGGCGTGGGTGGGGGGGAGGGGAGGGCTGGTGGTACGGCGGGGGTTATCTTTGATGTCAGTGGCTGGCCGATGAAGGGGGTGTTCGACGAGAGGAGCCAGATAGGCTGTGGAGTTTGAATTGCAGTGGTGGGGGCGAGGTGGGGTGGGTACTGCGGGGGAGGAGGGCTGCGGCGGAGATGTGCAAAAAAACGAAATTGTGATTGAAAGTGCGAATGAAGACAAGGGAAGACGAACGAAAGAGCAGCTCGAGACAAATTGCATTTTGTGCCGTGTCAGCCCTTAAGATGCTTCCTAAATGAGATATGCACATTCTCGGGTGAGTATAGCTCCTGCCTTAAGGTCTAGCGCAACAAAAAAGACAATGGGCCCAACCGCGATTCGAACGCGGGGCCTCTCGCATGCTTGGACCTTGAGAACCCAAAGCGAGAATCATACCACTAGACCATTGGGCCATCGATTACGTGAGCCATGTTGTAATTAAAATAATAACTAAGTGGTAAAGTAGGTGGGTGAGGGTGGGGCTTGGAAGGGGGGGTTTGCGGAGATGGACGGAGGGGAGAAAGTGGTGAGGGTGGGGATTGGGGGAGTGAGGGAGCTGGAGTTGCGGAAGGCAAAGGTGATTCGTTCCAATGTCGGAGGATGGAACAAGAGGGGGATGTGGTTGGCCACCGCGGAGAAGGCAGGCCTGGGTAAATGGAGGTGCGGTCGATGCCGCGGGTATTGCCTTGTTTCATGGCAGAGGATCAAACAGGAGACAAATCACGCATATCATGCTGCCCACGGAAAGCAAAGAATCATTCGCTATCTAACCGGGTCCGTCCGAAACCGTCATGGGTATATCCGCCTTGCGCCGTAAACAAACCATTCATCCATGTGTCCATCGCTATGACCATCGTCTTGAATATTTACACCTACGAGCGCAATTCCCCCGTCCTCCGCAAGAGTCCTCCGCCTAGACCGCCGGGCGGCGGCGCCGACGGAACACCGGAGCCCCGTCGATCAAGCGCAAGAGAGCCCACCCCGTAAACAGGCCGAACGGAATCGTAAGTCCGAGACCCAGGGCCACGGCACGGTGCGCGAACTCCGACGAGATTTGCTTGCTGGAGTACAGAGCGCCGTCGGGGGAGAGAGGGTCGACATAGGGGCCGGTGCTGGTGGGGAGGAGGCAGGTGGTGAGACTGGCGCTTGTGGTGATGGTGGGTGGAGCGTCGGTGGGGATGATTGGGAGGTCCGTGTCCGTGTCTGTATTGAGCGTTTCCTGGGAGATGGATGTGCTGAGCGTTGTCGAGGGCGACGTCGAGGAGGACGGCACAACGACCGACACGACCGACGACTGCTGGCCAGGCGGAGCGGACGACGACACGGCCACAATCACGCTGGACGACTTAACCGGCTCCGGGGCCACAACCGACACCGACGACACTGCGGCCGCCGAAGTCTCGACCTTGCTAATCTTAAAGACCGACTTCGTCCCCGGCGTCGGCTTAACCATGCTCGCCTCCACCGTGTGCCCCTCCGCACCACCGCCCGACTCATGAATGGCATCAAAAGGCGGAAGCAGCTTCGGCATGTTGCTCGCAGTGACCGTGCTCTGCTCCGGCTTGATCTTGACCATACCCGTAACCACGGCGGAGACGATGCGCGTGGTTTCCTGCAGGGAGAGGGCTGAGGCGAAGACGGCGGCGGGCGGCGCCATGGGAGCTGCGGCGGGCGGGATGGATGCGGCCTCTTTGTGGGTGCGGGAGGCGGGGATGGTGGTGGCCTTTGGCGAGGGGGCCGGCTCCTCGCTGGCGTAGGTGAAGAGGGCGGACGGTGCGTTGGTGTAGATGGAGAGGGCGTTTTGCGCGGACATGTTTGCGGGTGGTTGTGAGAGTTTGGTGGCGGTGGGGGGCATCTGGGTGGGTTGGTGAGCGGAGTCTCGGGAATGGGTGAGGGAGCGTGTGGGGATGTGGGGGAGAGAGTTGGTGAATGCGGTGGAGGAGGGAGTTTGTGGGCGGCGGAGGAGGGGGCGCTTGTTCCGGAAGCAAACTTACATGTACGGCGGCGGGCGGCCCGGAAATAATCCAGGTCCGGTATAGTCTGATGGTGGAGTTAGATGGTGGTGTTAAGGCTGATGTCGGTTGGGCTGTATGATGGATTCATAGAAGGGTAAGTGTTTGCCTCTCCGGCAAGTTCGAAGGCCGCCATGCTATAAGTTTGGTGTATGGTACTCGGCTCGGCCTAGTCTAGTGCGGAAGTGGAAATCATAGAAGGTAGGTCTCAAAATCGGCCTTGCTGTCCACGGGCCAACAGGACCTTCGGTATAGATGCGCCGGTGATGTTTATATCTGTAAGATCCAGCCGCCGCAGATTCCGGTGACTTGCTGAGCTTGACGTCCTCCGAGGCGGGGTTTCGGTCGGACTCCAAATGAACGGCAGACGAAGGCTGGTATATATCTAGAACGTTAGTAATTCCACGCTGTCAAAAACGCAGGGCTCTTCCCCGCGTTTGTCATGGTATTCGCGCAGCTTTTTTATGAATTCCTCATATTCTGGCGTTTTCTCGATGGCTACGGATGGACCGGCCACCGAGCTGCGGCGCGGAGGTATCGTAAATAAACGTATATATACTTAAGAATGTTGAGTAACGTAAGTTAGCTCCGGACAGCTAGGAAGTTTACAATCTGAGGGATGGTTGATGGTTTTGACGTTGCTGAAGGGTGTAGCGCATTCGGGCGCAAAATATGGATCTGCGGCCGTCGAATGTCGTAACCGTGGTTGTATATAGAGCGACTACGGCCGCCGCCGCCGCCGCAATTGCCGTTGAAGCCTCGATGATAGGCATTGCGGTCGCAACAATAGCCGAACTGGTTGTCACTACGATAATTAGTACTATTGGACGGAGAAGTTCCCCCTTACATCTCATATTCCTTATTACTGGAGAGGGAAAGCTCGGAGGAGTCGGAAGTTTGGTACCTGTATGGAGATGTTCATACAGTACGTCTAGTACTGGCTAGGCTTATCCTTTAAACGAAAGCCGCCCTCACCTACGGCTAATTGACATTCATGGCCATCTCGAGCTCGTGGGGCCTGGGAAGCGTTAGGGTTTGCAGTGGCTTCTTCAAACCCTTTTATTTGGGCTTGTTCTGGGTCTAAAACTTCTGTACATTCTATATAAAGGGCCGGGAGAAAAGACAATTGAAAATTATTGAAGAAGGTCGAGGAAAATGGGGAAGGGGAGGGAAAAGTGGTGATGGAGGAGGAAATGTTAAAGGTTAACGATTAAAGAAGTGGTCAGGGAACTTGGTAAGAGGAATGGTTCACTGATTGAGGCCCCGCTTCGCTCGGCTTCAATTATTCTCCGGACTCCCGTGCTCCTTCCCCCTCTGTCGTCTGAGGGCTGGGTCAAATCTTCTCGAGTTGCAGTAACGTGATTGACCCCAAGTTGCAGTAACGTGACCGGCTCCCGAAGATGAAGATGAAGATTACGATCATGATCAAAGGCGCCGGGATGGTTCGTCTGCATACTACCGTAAAGGTCGCCGAAAACCACCATATGTTGACCGAAAACCAATACTCGCCTTAGCAGATGGGTAGGTTAATGACCTCAACCTAAGTAGAAGCGCTCGGCTTTTACTTTAGGTCGGAGGTTCAACAACCTCCCACATCCCCTAGTATTAACACCGAGAGCACAACGCTGAGCGCAGTGGCCGGAGCAGTGGCCGGGGGCGGGAGGCAGGAGCCGGAGCCGGGAGCCAGGGCCTGGAGCCGAAGGCCGGAGCAGAAGTCGGGAGCAGGAGGCAGGAGCAGCGGCTGGAAGCCGAAGTCGGGAGCAGGAGTCGGGAGCAGGAGGCAGGAGCAGCGGCTGGAAGCCGAAGTCGGGAGCAGGAGGCTTGAACAGCAGGCCAGAGCTGTGGCCGGAGCTGTGGCCGGAGTAGTAGCCAGTGCCGTAACCGGAGCTGTGACCGAGAGCACGGCGCGGGGCCGAAGGCTGAGAGGTACTGTTTGTGAAGGAAGGTGGGTTTCCGCCGAGAGAATTATGGAACAGGTGATCGCCATCCATATAACACGGAGGGCCCTCAGACATTCTTGTCACACGCCTGAGAGTCCTTCCCGGTCTTTTTGAGCCTTCAAGCTTCCACAATACAGGGCTTATGAACAGGTACGACGTGCGGACACCAACCACCATGGGGTCTTCTCCTCAGATCCACGATGGAATGGGGCGAGGGTCTAGTGAGCCTGCAATGCTGGAAGTATACGCCAGGGCCTAGATGTATTTACCCGACCTTCGGGGGCTTTGAGGAGCAGACATGGAGGGTGTAGCTATGGCACGGTATGTCAGCAGGCAGTGAGTTAGGCAAGTGAAAGTGTTCGAATTATTGAAGAGAGGGAAATGAAGTCCCCAGATCCACATATGGAAGTTATATAAAGAGGGCAATGGCTCGCCCCCTGATGCAAAGCCTTGCATCTCACACTGTGTAAATTGTGGATCTTCTATCGCAGACTCGGTTCCCAAAAGAACCCGTGCACTGGCGAAACATCATAGTCGCAGAGGCGAGGAAGCTGCGGTAGCATCGTACCTCACGATACGTGGTGTGCGAGCCGTACGAAGGACTCAAGAAACGTATACTGCTTTGGCGAAGGCCCATATCCTAACAAAAGATCAGCAAAACTGAAGGAAACGACAGGTGGTACACTCACAACTTGGAGTACCTTCTTGACGATCCGGACTTTGCGCAGCTTAACCTTGTATTTGCTGCTATGGCCGCCGTGCTTGATTTGGGACCGGGCCCAGAAGTCCGCTGGCCAGTAACTACATATGCAGTCTTGTTATAGTTGACGAGAGAAGGGGGGAAGTGCGCGGTAGTTGTAGCTGGTGGCTGTTATATACCGCCCCAGAAGCGCCTCGATGAGGCGCGGCGGAGAGACTGAAGATCCGGGCAGGGATGTCCGGGCGGCGCCATTCATATGTTGCTCGAGCTCAGAGTGTTTGTGAGGACAGCGCAAATCGGTATATCGTTCGACAGTCTTGAATGGCGGGGCGGTTCGTAGGAGCGGCAATCCTCTTCCGGACTCAAAGAACTTCTCAATCTTGACATCGAGGCCAGCATCAGAAGCCAGGTTTGGAACGATGCAATCAATGGCAGAAGCTCACTAAGATGACAGTAGAGAAAGCGGCGCGGCGGTATAAAAGAGGGTGACCTTCCCGAGCCACGTCGAGAGGCGTCGTGACCGGAGCTAGGACGCCGGGCTTTAGGATGGTCTTTGATGTGCCTACAGCACTGAGCTGAGGGTTTGGGACCGTATATACCTCGCCGGACCGTGGGGGGCTCGTTGAGGACATGGGGAGATTGACGCATATTTTTTTGGCCGAGCGGCGGCGGCTGGATGATGCGCTTCAGAGCCATAGCAATGCGCTTGAAGATTGTTAAAATGAAGTGTGAACATGACTGAGTTGCTTATTTGACTAGCA